TAATTTGAAACGGAGTGAGTATTCATATTACTACATAACATGGTCAAAGATTTATTTGATATAGTAAATAAAATTTCTGCTAAAAATTTAACAACTTAGGTAAGTTGTCAAAGAGTTTTAACTAAATTTGTTTTGACGTTTTTTAGAAATCCTTTAATAATTTCTGTTGAACATCCATTTTTTTGTATACAACAAGTTTTTGATGTCAATCGACTCAATCCGTCTATCATTTATTATAACGTTAAAAAATCTTTTAAATGTCAATAATTTAAAAAATCCTTTTGAAAATACGCTTTGGAGGAAGTTTCAAATCAAATCAATTCATAATAGTTAATTTATATTAAAAAAACCTTTTTTTGCTTCAAATGTGTTTTGTCATTTTATTAGTTAAGAAAATTGAAAAAAGTTCCCAAAAGTAGGTTGAGAATTTGTTAGTTAAAAAATTCAAAAATATTTCTATACTTGAATACATTATCAAAATCCTAATCTATATCTATATCTATATCTATATCTATATAAAAAGAATTACTATTTACTAAATATAGGAGCAAAAAAGTCAATGAGCATTTAATGCATACTTTATTTGGAAACTTTTAAATATATGCATTAATTGCTTTAATATATACACATTTCCAAATCATATATGATCAAAAAGGTTCTTTCCTTGAATAATTTTATTATCATATGCAATAATTTTATTGATATTCATTATAATAAACTATAATTTGATTTTTCATAATTGGTGTTGATAATATTTTTGTCAACATAACCATGAAAACAAATTTTAAGTCTTAACCATAATATTAATTTTTTTTTTTTCAAAAATGTTGACTTTCATCCTAAAATATTTATAAACAATCGTAAGATGTTAAATAATTCTCCCTCTAACTAATTAGCCGAAATTCAGTTGGTGAATAATAATTTTTAATAATATTTTTTAACCTTTATTTATTATATAAACAAATAATTTCTTTAAACTAAAATAATTTACCATTTAAGAGATAATGATCACATCATTAAAAAATTTATTAACGGCTAAATAATAAAATCAAAATATATTAACTATTCTTTACAGTTTCAATATTTGATTTATTTGTATATTATTGTCAACCACGATAATTTTATCATTTTTTATTTTTATTTGTTTCCATAATGAATTTATTGTAAAATATATATTTATATTGCATAGTATGTTAAATAAACTAATAAAACCTTAGGATGCAAATTAGAAAAATCTCTTGATTATATAAGGGTTTATTATTTGACAATTTGCTAAATCAATTTTTTTTAATTATTATGAGAAATTTTAAAAAACATGTGTGTGTATTTTATAAACATTTATAGACAAAATTTTATTTTAAACTTCATTACATAAACTAAGAAGAAGTAGACAACTATTATAACCTTTATAAATAATAATAATGACATTATATGACAACAAATATTATAATAAAATATTAATTGAGTATTAAATGGTGAACAAGAATAAGAATAATTTTTTTATATCGATGAATAAATATATATTATAAAATTAAATTTATATTAGTATAACGTGTAAGCAGAATGATATATTAATTAATATATCAACGTTATGACTAAAATAAATATTACTGATAGAAAGAAGTGAAAAACTGATGATGCAACCCTATTATTTTTTGTCAAAATGTACAAGCCATATAGAAATGACTCAATTAATATATGTGTCCCGTGCATCGCACGGGCTATGCACTAGTAAGTCAAAAAATATGGAGAACAAATTGATATATACCTAGAATGAAGAGATTAATATTAGGTATAACTTAACATATAGATTTCCTGGAATAATTTTATCCAATCCAATGATAATATATTGAAAAAGCTTCTTTTCCATACATAGGTTGTCATTTTATGGAAAAAAATATGGCATTTAAAATATATATCCATACTAGCACCATTTATAGATTTGGATATTAATACATTATCAAAATCCTAGTAAGTCAAATATGGAGAACAGATTGATATATACCTAGAATGAATAGATAAATATTAGTTGATCATATTTTCAAAACCAAATTATAAAACCACAAAAATGTTTTTTAGTCCCTAACTGACTCTATTTTTGCTTTTGGTCCCAGTAAAGGTCTGTTTTTAGAAATGGCCATGCAAGTGAAAAAATTAGTTTTTTTGTCCTCTAACCGCCTATAGTAGGTCACCGTGATCGGGCCCGCCTAATAAAGGTTGTGATATTTATTTGCAAAAATAAAAAAGTTGAGTTTTATTTGCAATTATACAAAAAGTGAAGATTTTATGTGCAATTAAGTCTTAATTATATGATGTGTATATGTACTTGGACTCATGACTTGCAGGGGTGGACTCATGACTTGCAGGGGTGGACTCATCTTAATATTTTATTCTTTTATGGTAGCCATTTTGTCAACATTAATTAACAAGTTGCCAAGTTGTTAATAATGTATGAACAAATTCAAGAAACGAGTTCTGAAAAGTTGGGTCCAAATCGCATTGAATCATTTTGTACCCTTTGGATCATGTCCAATTTAGTAGTTTACGTACTACTATTGGTGGATAATTATGGTGTATAACCTTATCAAGAGTAAAATATTTGCATGCCAATTAAGTTGTTAGAATGGTACTAATTGTATTTTGCTCGGTATTTTCGGTACAATATTTCAGTACTTTATGTTTACTTGACCTGGTCTCCAGATGAACCATCCGGTTTAATTGAAAATTCGAATAATGCAGTTTAAAAAACTTAGAGATTATTTATACAACTTGTTTTAAATTGATATACATGAAAAGTAAGAGAAATAAACCATTCAAATGGAAATATTTTACTCTTAATAATGACCCTCATCATATAAATATTGACTATACAAATATATATACAATTATTTTTAGTAAAATTAATTATTTTTTAAGAAAATAGAAAAATTAAAAAACAAATAATGTCGGTCAGGATCAAAGAGTTGTCAGCATGGGTCTTGGTTAGGCTGCTCGGAAAACAGTATGGACGACCAACTTGGCAGGGTTCAACTTTGGATACTATGGGGTGGACTAGTTGGGTCTTCATCGAAAACCAGGGTCTTGTTTTTTGTCTTATGCAATTATTATTTTTATTATTAATTTATTGCAATTTGCAAATTGCATTAAACAAATAGCGTAACAATTTCTTATTTGTTGTTTTGCTTGTAATAATCCGACACTGCACATTGGACTTAGGGAGAGATTTATATTTCAATTATTCATTTATTAGCTAGACTAGACAATCCAAATTATATTAGTTCTCAAAACAGTACCTAAAGTTCTATTTTAATTTCATGCATAAATTATATATAGGGAAGTCCCCTTTTTTTTTTTAATTAACTAATGTTCTTACTTTTTCTTTAAATTAAGCACAATGTATTCTCAGTGAAAATTTAGAAAGCTAAAGTGTAGTTACTAATTACAACTCTCTGTGTGAGAAAAACTGGCCAAGATAGTAATAGATTAATTGGTTTGTTGTTGAGTGTTGACTGGTGACTGATGATGAAATGCTTGAGTTATCACCGTCATATTTGAAACATTTTAGTATGAGACTCCTTTAAGGACTTGAAATTACACGAATGACCGTTGCATGAATAAGTTGAACTTGACTTAGAAAATTAAGCGGTGATTGTTTACAAATTAACCAAAAACAAATTCACTTACAACTCAAATCTAACTCAATTTTAATTCAACCTCACTATTTTCAATATTATCAATATAATTGAATAATACTAATTAATAATCTTGGCTCAGACTAGTTGAACCAATGTTAAAAAATATTATCAATATAACTAAATAATACTAATAAATAATCTTGGCTCAGGCTAGTTGAACCAACGATTAAAAAAAAAGCATCTAGTAAACTTTTTTTTTTGTTTATAATGTTTATTAGTGTTTTAAAATATTTTACGAGTTGCGAGTTGCATTGCTAGATTTAATATCACAAAATTATTGTGACACAAAGAAGTATGGTTAAATAAATTTCAATATGTGATTCTTTTAAAATGTCATCGTTTCATATTTTTGTGACGCAAAATATTTGTGCGTGTAAATTTTGATACTTTAGTTTTTAGTTTAGTTTTTAGTACAGTTGATGACAGGACAGCGAAGACTCTTGTACAACGGGTAAAAGATCATAGTCAAATTAAGGGGTTTAATGCACCAAACCCCCCTATATTATACTAAATCTGCGCGTTTCCCCCCTTTAATTTAAAAATTGTGTCATACCCCATTCTATTAAGGTTTTGCATGCACGAAACACCCTAAATCGTCTAAGATGACGACAGTGGTGTGCACGCGCGTGCTATGCGACTTTTTCTTCATTTTTTCACCTCAAAGTGACGGAAACTGTTTTACCCATTTAAAAAAATAAAAATAAAAATCTAAAAACTCTTGAGTTCATCTTCAACCTCAAAAATCAGAAAAATGAACAACTTCAAATCCAAAAAATGAACAGAATCCAATATTGTCTGAGTGTGCATTTTGCAATACTTGAAATTTCTCACACACAGTAAATTTAGGGAAAAAAAATTACAATCTAATTCATTAATTCACTTCATCAACATTTGATATTAACAAATAATTTTATGACACTCCAATTTGTGTAAGGACTATAATATGTTTAGGTGAATTCAACCAATCTAAATTCAAAATGACAAACTGTAAAATGAAAAGAAAGAAAAAAAAGCGAAGGCTTCAAGAATTGAACAAGCTGATATAGAAACAAAAGTTTGTACAAAGAGACTCAAGTTACAAGCTAAAATTACAAATCTGAAACATAATTCCACTGGAAAAAATAAATAAATAAATAAGCAAAAAAAAAAAAAATGCATTACATTCTATTGTGTTCTTGTCAAAATTAGGTCACCTATGAATTCTTAAGATCAGTGAACTGCACTGAATCAGAATATCACATTTGGAAGCCATCCATCCAAGAACTCCATTGTCGACCGAAACATAGAAGTGTTCAGAAAAAAAAAATGAAAGAAACAACAAAATTGTACCAGCAATCAAGTACAGCCCGTTGGCTCTCTTCTCCCTACACGGCGGCGGAGGCGACTATCAGATCGGGGTCGATTCCACCGAGCCCGCCAACGGCAGAGGAGACCCGAGCTTCCCCACCCGCAAGAGACGAAATCCTCCAACTGCATCAGCACATTGGAGACCAGAAAAGGCGCTCCCTGCCCGTACAGATCGAGGGAGAACTCTTTCTAAAGGAGGGGGCGGCGAACAGAGGCGGTGGTGGAGGTCTCAAGGTCGGAGTTCCAAACTATTGTTGGCGGCTGAGATCTGATTTTTCTTTTTTCTTTTTTGTAAGATTAGGGTTTTCACCCTTTTGACGAGAGAGAACAATTGAAGAGACTGTGCTGGTNTAATTGAATTTTTAAGTTTTTAATCTTATAATTTCTTACATTTATAAGAATTTTAATCAGTTTCCAGTCGGGGTCTATTTAAAAATTAAATTTATACAATGTTATTAGAAACTTTCAGTCACTACTATTACAATTGCTAGCAAAACTGGTTCTTAGCCTTTCACCATTTTTAATTTTAATCTGAACTCAGATAAATATGAAAATGGGAATGCTTATCAAGATGAAAAAGCTTCAAAGATAAAGGACCAATTTGGAAAATTTTCCTCTCAACTTGGACCTATTAATTGTCAAAAGCTGGGTAAGTAAGAAAGATATATGTGTTGGAATATAACTTGTGAGTTGTCCCAAATTAATTTGATAGGGTAAATGAGCCTAGTGGGTTACTCCTCTCATCACCAATTGGTTTTGGTATGAACCTCATTTGGGCTAACCCTCTTATAATGCGCTTCACCTGTGTGAGACCGCGCTCGTTTTGTCCCGTTTGGTAATATGCTGCTCAAAGGATAAAGATGGATGCTTGGTATTTTTCGCGGCAACTAATTCCTTTGAATTGTCCAACTTGCTCTCTGCTTAAGATTTCCTACGGATTAATGTGTGGAGCGCCGTGACAACGGATTAATGTGAATCCAGTCTGAACGTTTCTTATGAATGACTTAATTTAAAAGCATTAGATATGTGAATCTGGCTTTTATGTATCGTACTAGTGGCACATACTTTTCGAGTATTACTTTTGGTTAGATTAATTGTGTTCCTACTTTAAATTGAATTATTTTGAAGTTTCTCATTGGATCCCATCAAAATGGTTTGCTTTTTTGCAATTTCTGACTCTAAAATATTTAAATTCAATACAGGAAGCCATTTATCACGTGGTGTATAGTGATGTATTAATACATTATTGATTGACTAGGATCTTTAGGTCCATGCAATAAATTACGAAACTTTTTTACTTTTAAGTCCACCAATTTCCATTTTTCCCACCTTAGCATCCTAGTCAACTGGCACTATATATGCTAATTTTATCAGTCAATTTTGTCATACTGTGCAAGTAAAATTTAAGGTGAAAAGGTTGAATTACGATCGAGCAACCATATAACAAGTTGTTTATTATGTAGATAAATTAAAAATCTTGCATTTAAGAAACAAACCCATTTTTGCTATCCCTACAAAAATGTTGGAGCCAATCTGTGGTAGTTATAAATTATGTTATAATTATTTGGTGGTTAAAAAATATATACCCATAACCCATTAATGATTTCAAAAATATTTACCCTCTAAGAAGTAAAAAATATATATATTGGGTAAATTATAAAATACAATAAAATAAAAAGATATCCATGAGTGAATAAATGAAATAATTAAAATCATCTTGAGGTCCCATTTCAAGTTGTAGCTAAATAAATTTAAGCTATTAAATAAGAAAAAGGAAAAATAAAAGTAGAATTAGAGCCATTTGGTATATATTGGAGTTGTTGTACATGTTTCAATAGCATTAAACATTGGATGAAAGTCCAACTTGGTATGAACATATGGATTGGGAGTTGGGACTTGAATTTATTCCTGTATCCATCACCACTGGCTGGTAGGTCGGGCCCAAATCACTTGCCCCGACCCATGACCCACACACGGACCTACCGAAATTATTAAAAACTTGTCTGGTACGTACTTGGTATTATAATAGTAAGAGATGGAGTGCTTCCAATTCATGCATGAATGGAGTCAATGGACCAATGTCTTTTTACCATGATTGGTAGTGTGGCTCAACTTATAATTATATATACATATATATGTCCAATTTTGCATATTTTGAAAAACAATTATTAATATTTATCGCATAATGCTATTGAATTATGTGACTAGTAGAGTGAGATTGACCCGCCATCTCTTGTGGGACTACATGTATATAACACTAGATATTAAGGGGTTCTAAGGGAAATTACAAAATTCAAATTCTATAATTGATGTAGCATTATGAAATAGTCCGGTTTTGGTCATGTCTTGGCCCAGATCCAATGGTACCAGTTAAATATTAAACCAATTTGTTAATCCTTTATACATAAGGATTCATTTTCACTTTATAACATTATTTTTTAATTACAAAATATCAATGGTGATTTGGTATATGTCTAAAATGTCGGATCGAATTCATCTAAGGGCTTCTCTGACATTATTTTGCAGGTTGAACAAATTTGTTGTTTGAAACATTTGACATTAGACTGTTCCGTCGAACAATTTGATTGTCTCATAGTCCATATACACAATAACAAAGTTTCAATAAATTGTGCGATAACGAATGAGGCAGTTTTGCTATGGAGCCATCGGATGGCTCGGCTTATAGAGCCCTCCACACCTATTCATCAATAGAGTATTGACACGTGTCATGTAATAAATACACTTTGGACAGGTGTCAATAAGTTAAGTGGTAGATGGCTCTATAAGAAAATCATCCAATGGCTCCATAGAATTTTTTATGAATGAGGTTACAACATGACTTTTGATTTCAATGTTTTACAATTTCTGGATGCAAAATGAACAATTATATTTTTGATGAACTCAAGAAGGCAAGAAGCAATCGATCGAATCGAATAATTCCATTGAATTTAGATGGAATATTACCAATGCAGTTCATAAGAGTACACTGTATGTGTTGAAAATAGGTGCAGCTTTTATTTAATTAAAAAATAAAAATAAAATAAGAAAAGGAGTAAAAAGTTAAAAAAAAAAAAAAATGGAGGATATTGTGCCACATTCGAGGAAGTTACGAGTCAGCGCCAACCAATGTCCAACAAGTTGAAGTAGCTGATTAGTAGTCTGCCGCACAGTCTGACTGTTATTGTAAAGCCTATTTTTTGTAGTTATTACTCACAAAATAATTTCACCTTAGTATAACTTACCAATACCAAATACAGGTTGTATAATTAGTAATAATTTTTGATAAAACGTAAGACATATATATATATATATATATATATATATTTTGTTATGGAAATATTTTCTAAAAATCTATATATAATTGGGACATACAAGCCTTAATTAAAGAATGCTTATTATTTTTTTTTAGTACAAAAAGAATGCTTATTTAAATTCATTTAAGTATTGTATTTCATCTTATGCGGGGCCGCACCTTACCTTAACAAAAAATAATATATATCACTTTTTGTGTCCATGTAGGAAAATACTAATTACATTGACTGGTCAACACCTTCATGCTTGAATAAAAGAAAAAAGGTAATGATGAGTTGGAAATGGATACTATAAATAGATGGCATCTCTGTCTTCTTACATCATCTCATCCTCAACCTTCCTGCAAACAGGTCATTTAATTTGGCACTTCTCACTTGCATTTTAACTCCTTGCAACTTAATATCATATTTTCTATTTCAAACAGTTACCAAAAAATATATACGTCAATGTATAAATTAATCAGCTTGTTTCATTTAAAGTTCTAGATTTGCAGCAGCACTTGTTTCATTCATTTTATTTCAGCCTATTTACACAGACACACACACATATATATATATATATATATATATATATATATGATTATTAATTATATTTTAAACTCTATGTACAGACTCTACGTTTCTTTGTCAACTATAATTATTTGGGTCCCAATAGTACTTATCATCAAATTTATAATTTCATCAAGAAATCTAATTTAAATCATACAAACATCTATGTGTACATGCACGTTACTCGTACTAATTAATATGCTTAGACTAATAATTTGGTGCCCAAGTTTTGATGATATTTCCATTTTAATTTCTGCAGAGCACAATTTGTATTGCAGTAGAGAATCATGATGATGTCCAAAGTCCAAATGTTGGGCCTCCTCCTATTACTAGTGTCATGTGGCTCCACCTTGGGCCAAAGCCCGCCCACCGACACCCGCTACAAGGACCCGAAACAGCCCATGAACGTTCGGATCAAGAGCCTAGTGGAGCAGATGACACTCAAGGAGAAAATCGGGCAGATGGCCCAAATCGACAGGCCCAATGTCACTCCGGAGATTCTCAGAGAATATTCCATAGGCAGCGTAATAAGCGCGGCTGGCAGCACGCCTCGCGAAGACCACAGGGCCACACCCGAGGAGTGGGTTGACATGGTCAACGGCTACCAACAAGGTTCCCTCTCCAGCAGGCTCGGGATTCCCATGCTTTACGCAATTGACTCTGTGCATGGCCACAACAGTTTGTACAAAGCTACTATCTTTCCACACAATGTCGGTCTTGGAGCTACTAGGTATTTAATTACTAATTTACTACTTGTTTTTTCTTTCCAATCCTTTTTTAGTAGAGTATGTATGTATGTATGTGTAAATTAATTGGCATGCTTGCTTGCAGAGATCCAGAGCTAGTTAAGAGGATTGGAGCTGCCACAGCAGTCGAAACCAGAGCTACCGGCATTCCCTATGCGTTCGCACCCTGCATTGCGGTGCGTATTAATTTCCCATTTTTTTTAAGTGACATTACTCTACATGATGCAATACATATAGATTAATATTTTAACCATTCCGTTTTCCTTATTTCATGTAAAGGTTTGTAGAGACCCAAGATGGGGTAGGTGCTATGAGAGTTACAGTGAAGACCACAAGATTGTTGAACAAATGACGGACATTATTTACGGCCTACAAGGAGAGCCTCCCGTCAAAGGCGTCCCTTACGTTGGTGGAAAGTAAGTCCAAATTACTAAGCTTGTTGTTTTTTTTAATGCATGATTATTGATAACAAATTTTGAACTTGTTATACATGACCATTAATATGGGATGATTGGTATTATTATTATTATTATTTGCAGAGACAAAGTGGTGGCATGTGCAAAACACTTTGTTGGTGATGGTGGCACCATTAATGGGATTGATGAGAACAACACATTGACTGATTGGAAAGGATTAATGAGCATTCACATGCCGGGATATTACCAGTCCATCATCAAGGGTGTCTCGACTATAATGGTGTCTTATTCAAGCTGGAACGGCGTCAAAATGCATTCCAACAGAAATCTCGTCACCCAATTCCTCAAATCCACCCTCAAATTTAGAGTAAGTGTTAATCCAAAACTAAAAATTCTAAATTCAGTAAATTGACTAACTATAGTTGACTAGCTAGTACTTATAAATTGTAGAAACTGCATCCTAACGATGATCAATTTATTTATTTTTTCTTTTCCAAATTTTTCAGGGATTCGTGATCTCCGATTGGCAGGGCGTGGACAGAATGACTTATCCATGGGGTTCTAACTATTCAACCTCTCTTCTAACAGCAATTAATGCTGGTGTAGACATGGTATGCTTATAAATTAACCACAATTTTCTTATATATCTTCATAATGTAATGAAACTTCTTACTACACTTATATAACAATAGACTAGACTGAGTTATGCGGTCTGATTGTATGATCCAGGTGATGGTTCCACCAAATATCACAGAATTTATCCGCCTCATGACTTCTCATGTGAACAACAAATTGATACCAATGAGCCGTATCGATGATGCAGTGAGAAGGATTTTGAGGGTCAAATTCAGTTTGGGTCTCTTAGAGAATCCTTTAGCTGATTATAGCTTGACAGGTCATATTGGGAAACAAGCTCACAGAGAATTGGCAAGAGAGGCTGTGAGAAAATCACTTGTTCTCTTGAAGAACGGAAAAGATTTGACTAACCCTCTGCTTCCACTCCCCAAAAAGACATCCAAAATCTTGGTCGCCGGAACTCATGCCAACAACCTCGGTTTACAATGTGGCGGTTGGACTGTTGACTGGCAAGGTGTCGACAACAACACCCTCATAAGTGGTATGTATTATTCTACAATTAATCAATCAAGAATCTACCAAACATATAATTTGTACTTTTTTTTTTTTCATATGATCATCTGACAATACTTAATGTAGTAAGAAAATTCATCTTCTATCTCTTGTTATAATATATAATCTGCAGGAACCACAATATTGAATGCCATCTCAACTACGGTCGACCCAAGTACAGAGATCGTGTACAGCGCAAAACCGGATGTTGATTCATTGAATGCTGACGAATTTTCTTACGCTGTTGTGGTGGTGGGTGAGCACACTTATGCGGAGCAATATGGGGACAATACGAACCTGACTATTCCGGAACCGGGTCTTACCACAATGAATAACGTATGCAGCAAAATCAAGTGTGTTGTGATTATAATTTCGGGACGGCCGCTAGTGATTGAGCCGTATCTTCCAAACATTGATGCCCTTGTGGCTGCATGGTTACCTGGTTCTCAAGGACAAGGTGTAGCTGATGTGCTGTTTGGGGATTATGGTTTTACTGGGAAATTGCCCAGAACGTGGTTCAAGAGAGTCGATCAACTGCCAATGAACTTCGGGGATGCGCATTATGATCCTCTTTTCCCCTTCGGATTTGGACTCACCACAAAGCCTTCTGAAGGAATGTAATGAGGAGAAAACATGGCCATCTAATTGTTTTTTTTTTTTTTTTACCATATATTGGTTTAATTTGTTATTTCATTGGGTAATTAGAACTTTCTGATTACCCCTTTTACCTTTTGTAATAGGCCAACAAAGAATCCAAGATATGTTATCAATTCTGTAAGTTTGGGATTGATATGCAAGAATGAAAAGGAAAAAAAAAATATTATATAAGGTCTTATGTGAAGAACTTCCCTTATTCAAAAGAATCCTAATGCATGCAGGAACTCATTTGTTCAAACATCCTTGATTTCGAACTTATGCTAAAATAATATATCTTTCACCTATCTGTGCTTGTTGATCCAAGGACTACAAATTCTCAGACTTGGAAAAAATACTCTGCCTTTTTTTTTTCTCTTTTGCACCAACTAAGTCACTTCCTCTAAAATTTAAAGTTTTCACAAACACTCCCCTGTTGTTGGAGACAGAGTAAAAGAATTTATATGAACACAAAATAAATCATTTACCTTGTATTCATTGACAGCCAACAGAATTATATATTCTCCAGAAAGTCTATGGAGCCATCCATACCTTTATGTATTGACACGTGTCCAAGGTGTATTTATTACAGGACACGTGTCAATACACTATTTGTGGAAAACTATGGATGGCTCCATAAGCCAAGCCATCCGACGGCTCCATAGCAAAACCGATATATTCTCACCACTAGAGGCTAAGCATATTGTATTTTGCGTGCTATGTTTTTCTTTTTTCTTTTATTACAAAATAAAAAATATATGTCCTTGGTGCCTTGTTTCTTATCAAGCATATTGTACTTTGCATCAGTTACAAGTTCCCCCATGTGTAAATACCTTTTTGTCATGTTATACTTGATAATTTCCCATTTTATCACAGAAGAAGTGCAAAAACAGACTCTGATCACAGATTAATTATTCATATATACATTTTTTTTTAAGTCTAGAGACGAAGGGACGTATCAACAACATCAGAATCAACCTCAAAGGAATCACTATGTTTGCCCCTAGAAGCAGATGCTGTTGGCTGTTGTACAACAGGCTTGACAGCTTGAACACATGGCGCATGATTAGAGTCGAGCCCAAGAGCGAGAGGATCATGAGAAGCTTCATCAGGTGGTGGAGACCTCATGCATGGATTGGTGGACCCATCAAAGCCGTTGATCGACTGAGAGAGTCGTTTGAGGAGCTGTCTTTCTTGCCTAATGTCTTTCAACCTTTGCAGCTGCTTGAACCGTTCCTGTAGTAACACGATAGACGAGCCAACGGCTGATGAGCACTTATTATGATTTTCCATGATTTGTTTTTTCTTTTAACTTATAATAATAATCGTAATCGATCAGCCCGAAAACAATCCGGATTTTGGGGAAAATAGAGTGCTTTGAAGCCAATGTATATGTGTGAGTATTTCTGTTGGTGGTTGTGTGTGTGTGTTCTCAGGAGTGTGCTTTTGTTGCACATATATATAGACAGAGAATGAGCTGACAAATGTAACTTAACTCTCTCTCTCTCTCTCTCTCTCTCTCTCTTGATGGATGGATGGATGAGTTATGCAAGAGGAGTGTGTGAGTAACTGTGCAGCATAGGTCCAAAAGAAAAGGTTTGAGCAAGCTATGGAATGAACTTGTTAAGGGTGGGTGAGTGAAGGCAAAAGGACCTGAATTCTTAGGTAAATGGTGAGGGAAAAAGGCCAAAAAAGGCTTGTGGATGCATAGCTATTGGAGGGGTGTGGTTGGAGGAATATATGGTTTGGTGTCATGTTTGGTTTTGAGCATTTTGTTGACACTCAAAACAGTTCCATTCTTTTGTTGTAGGGTTCAATGTTTTTCCCTAAATCATCCTTTCTTTTTGTACCTTTTTGGTTTTAGATGCTAAAGATAATCATTCACTTTGGTTTCTTGTGGGGGCTGCCTTTGAATAAACAATCTGTAATGATGAGATCATAGATTAGCAAAAGGATAAGATAATCAAATGGATCTATATGTGTTGTCTTGTGGTGTTATTGCACCTTTAGTCACAAACTAGCCCAAACAAAGTATTGGGTGATTTCTAAGAGAAAAAGAAAAAGATAAGAAAAGGAAAATTCAACTTTCTATTGGAATTGACAATACAAATATGCATAATACAAATTAACTTTTCTAGTATATATACAAGCTGTGCCGAATTTAAGCTTTCTNGGAATTGTGAGGCAAAGAATGAAAATAAATTTAAAGGAAATGGAAAAAGAGGAGTAACAATATTCGAGATCTAAATGATGGCAAGAAAGAACACCTAGATAATGCAACTTTAAAATATGATGAAATAACCTGCCAAACACCCCACAAGACAAGCTCTTCATGTCAATCCAAGTTATAGAAAAAGTGCAGCATCTCAGACCAGTCATATAGAAAACTCCAAACCCCAACAAGACTCAAACTAATGCTTAGAAATATTATTCGTGTAGTCACAACTCAAGGTTCTACAACAAGATCTACCTTATGTTGTCGGGGTACTTACTATTATAATTTCATCCTTGCATTCGTAACTTCAGTCGGTCTAAAATAATTGGTCTACTATATGTGTGTGTTGCTATTTAAAACAACTATGTTCGACCAACTTTAGTCGGTCTAAATAATTGCCTCATTGCACACTAGCCCTTTCTCCTTCATAAGTTCGACCGACTCGTCCACCTCATGACTTCTGCCCTCATTACACAAACACAAGAGAGCAGTTAAAATGTAATATGTTTCAACTGATGGCTCACAGCCAACCTCAGACATATATCCTGACTAACATATCGTGAAATGTATCAAAAGTAATATATCTTTTTATTATGTATAAAAGTTGTCTGTTTACAGTTTCATTTTCAACACCAAAATTTTTCAAAAGCCATTCTATTGTGCTGTTGCATTCCTTTCAGCAAAACATAGTGAAGTCCGGTAATTTGGCGTGCAGCCTGAGTTCATCATCTGAAAAAGGCAGTGACTGTGAAGGTTGGTTTTCGAATATGTTCAATTGCTTATAATTTTATGTTTGTTCAAATGCTACTGAAAAATTTAAGTCATTGTTCAAACCCTATACTTTCTCTTGAGTCATGGAAAATCCATATTTCTTAACAATATTGTCGCTGGTGCAAATTTCTGCTTAAAGATGCTTATGTTAATTGACGGTTGTATTGTAGTGTTGGAGTATCACTTGTGAGTTATCCCACATTGATTCTACAGGGAAATTGTGCCTAGCTTATATCCCTAGTGGGCTCATTTTTCCCTCAAAATGAACAACTAGTAAAGCATATACGTCAATGAACACTCTCGTTGTACATTAAACAGTACATCCCATGTAACTCCACATTCCCTCTCTTTTACATATAAAATAATTAAAAATAGTTGGTTTTTTTTTCTCATTTTCCAGGCACAAAGTTGGTGGCATAGGCCCATGCGTTATTAGCGACTGGGTCAGCCAAATGGTCATACAGGTTCTCAATTGGGCCCTTTCCAGTGACAATGGCCTGCACAAAGAAGCCAAACATGGAGAACATAGCCAGCCTCCCATTCTTGAGCTCCTTAACCTTCAACTCGGCAAAGGCCTCCGGGTCATCAGCCAGGCCCAACGGGTCGAAAGCCCCACCAGGGTAGATCTTGTCCAGGCCCTCTCCAAGTGGGCCTCCTCCGACTCTGTACCCTTCAACAAAGCCCATGAGAACAACCTGGGTGGCCCAAATAGCCAGGATGCTCTGGGCATGGATCAGGTTCGGGTTGCCCAAATAGTCGAGCCCGCCTTCTGAGAAGATCTGAGACCCGGCCTTGAACCACACGGCCTCACCAAATTTGACGCCGTTCTTGGACAGGATTTCGGGGAAGACGCAGCCCAAAGCGCCGAGCATGGCCCAACGGGAGTGGATCACTTCAAGCTCACGGTTCTTGGCGAACGTCTCTGGATCCGCTGACAGCCCAGCAGTGTCCCACCCGTAATCACCAGGGAATTCACCCGTGAGGTATGATGGAGTCTGCTCCGAGAACGGGCCCAAGTACTTGGGCCTGTCTGGCCCATACCTATTCAACATCCTCAAATATTTATTTTTTGTACAATAAGCACTCCTTTTCTAAGGTTAAACTAAACTATCTATAGCTACTAATGAATGTGAAGATAAATATTATTACCAGATGCTCTCGGGAGCACTCTTCACAGTACGCCTCATGCTGATGCGGCCGCCGCCCAGGTTGCCCACTTTTCTGGTGAGTTCATTCTGTGGCTTCAAAGCAGTGTGGCCAGCAAATGCAGATTGTTGGATTCCTGAAGCTGCCATTCTTTGCTTGATTTTCTTTTTCGGTATTTGCTAATTCGTAATAATTGTAGGAATATGAATCAATGGTGATGAAGTTGGGTAGGTACATAGATTATTATATATGGAGTTGTGGATTAGAGTGTGTACACCTCAGCATGCATTGATTGGTTGGTTTTGGGGATTTAGATTTCTCCTCAAGATTTTTTACAAGCCAAGCCCAGGTCTATATTTTGCCACGTGGACACTGAAAAATCCGAATTGGCAGGCAGCTATGCATTTTATCCCATATCTAAAAGCATCTACAATGCTTTGGTCCATTTAAAAAAATATACATGCCACGTGAGAAATAGACTCAGTCTAGAAAAATATATCCTCCAATGCAAGGGCAAGTAGATCAGGTCCTGCTTATGTGGCAGCAAAAAAATGAGAACCGATCTAGCCTTAAGTCTATTTTAGGTTCAAGTAGAGACCTAGTCTCTTTGCATTGGAGTCAAATTTGTTAGTTTTATATATATTTTTGTCTAATCATCTAAGACTTATGTCTATTTACATGCCACATGAGCACACTTAAACCCACAACATTGTAGATGCTACCAGCAAATGTATGTTGTCTTGATGCATCAGTCACGCAGTACACAAACACACACACCCCACTCACATACGTCATCTAGGGCCATTCTAATCTACGAGTGTAATAATGTAGATTTGTATGCGATATACAAGAAATTTTGAAACCTCTAATAACATGTACTGCTCAAACTAGCAATGGAAAAACTTAATGCTTGGATATAAAAATTTTTGGATTTGTTTGGATTTTTTGGTTTGGTTTGGTTAATTTTGAAAAATGTGGTATAGTTAGTTGTTAGTGGGTATATTAAAATAATATTTAAAATAAAATAATTAAAGTTTATTTGATGTAAAAGTATGAGAGAGAGATTTGAAGTGATGGTTAGTTAAAATTATGTGAGTGGATGAATAGTGAATTAAGGTTGATGTAATGTGTAAGAATGATTGGTTGATATTATTTAATTATATTAATAATATTAATGATAGTTGGGTTGAGTTAAAGTTGAGTTAAAAAAATGATTGAGTTAAAAATGTTTGAATTTTTTTGGATAAATTTTATATCCAAGCATAAGCTCGTCATCACTGTTTAATACAATTACCTACACATACCAAGTTCATGGTAAACTAAAAAAGTAAAGCAGTAATTGTTGCCCAATGCAGTTTAAACTGTAATATGATTTCATTCCTCTCTTTTCAAAACTACACCTGAGATGAAACAAATATATGAAGCATATTCATCATGTGGACCTTATTGGTAATGGATGACCAAAAGTGATAAGTATGTTTAATAATTATTGATTCTAAAAATGCTGTGGTGAGTAAAAAAAGTAACATATGTATAATTATATGCAGAGATATCAGACTATGAAAAGGGTAAAATATTTTTCATTTTTTTTCTCCTTCAATGTTGTACACAAAAACCTTACACCCAACCCCTACCAATAGCCATCTCAATCTGCAAAAGTTAGGTACCAAAAGCCCAAATCCAACTTTGACACAAGAACCAACAAAGACAAGCTGAGACAAAAACTATCTTCCCTCCATGAAATAAGGCCCTTGGTCACTGATCACTCCCGAGCAGGATAGCGGTGAGCATCAGCTTGCCCGCATCTGGATAATCCTTGTGCCGCATGATGACCCCTTCCACGGACGAGCCTACGTCCGTTTCCTGCCTCAACGGGAACACCTCATTGAATTTCACATCAAAAGTTTGTGAGCGGGGCCCATAACATTTGCTAGCGGCATTGAAAAGTACAGTTTGCTCAAGAACCTCAGAGGTTCTCTCATCACTCCAGCCCTCATTCATGGACAAGCTATACAGTCTCTCCCAATCATCTTGACTTGCAGCATTTCTCCAGCACTCCTCCAAAACCGTTGTGTTGCGTCTGAGAAAGGACGCACTCGTCCACAAGAATATATCGAAGGCTCGCAAAGAAAGCTCCCGCTTCTCGATTCTAAGACACATTTTGATAAGATCCACCGGATCAAGAAGCTGCTGCTCCATCAATTGCTTTTCCTCATCATCATCAGGTAGAAGCCTCACTAGTTCTTCCTTTAAGCGTACGAGAACGTTAGTCCACAGAAAATATTATTCCGAGTATTTGGCTCAAGTGATTAGGCATGTTATCAAAATATGAGAAACAATATAGATAACCTAAATCCCAACATATTGGTCTCGTCAAAACTTTTTTTTATTCCATGTCAGTTAACAACACAAACATGCAAATTGGTCTAAATACCTGTACTTGTAGAATATTCAGATCAGCTTCTATACGCTTCACCTTTAGCTCATAGCCAACTTCTCTTCCTGACAGATTCACAGATTGGTATCACCATTTCAGGTGCAAACAACATGGTAAAAAATAATAAAGGACACCAAAAAACTAAGTATTACATCCTTCTACCAGAGACAAAGAATGACGCTGCATCTACCACAAATTTTGGACTTCTTAATTTCCTCTAGGGCATTGGATTATATGATTAATGGAACCCCTAAATACCCTATTCGATACTTCTTTTTGGAGGGCACAATTCTTAATAGAGATCACACAGCCAAAGAGTAATCACAATCATAATATTTTTTAGCATATTACAGCTGGAGATAGCCCGTACCTGCCACTGCTGATAGTTTTGCGAGATTCAAAAAATGCTTTCTCCTAGCCAAAGTTAATTTAGGTTGTTGGCTACTAGGTTCAGTCTCATCAGTATCTGAAACTGATCTGTTATCCTTAGGAAGAGATAAATTAGATAATGCGTGTAAAGTTTCAGAAGCTGAAGAAAATTGACGAAGAAACAATTCGTGAAGCCAAAGTAGATCGGGATGCTGCCTCAGAAATGTAGCAAGCTCGTCATGAAACTCTTCACCTAGCCGCATTAGTTTTGAGAATTGTTTGCTATCATAGAGTTGTTTGAAGACAAAGCAACTGAAACCTCCTTTTGGTCCGATGTTTTCATGCTGCAAAATAGAAGTTCAAATTACAATTCTAATTAAAAGCTCATATGAAAAA